GGTGTCCATTCAAAGCGCCTACTCCCTTTCAAAGCATCGAAGAAGGGGACGCACTTATCCGTCACTTTTGATATAAATCTGTTTAAAGCGGCGACGCACCCTGTCAACTTTTGCACCTCTTTCAGTTTAGTTGGGGACCGCATATCCTGCAAGGCTTTATTCTTTTCAGGGTTAGCTTCTATCCCCCGGTTACTGATCATGAAACCAAGGAATTTCCCTGATCTAACTTCAAAGGCGCATTTTCGGGGGTTCAATTTCATGTGGTATTTTCTCAGTACACCAAACATTTCACCCAAATGGTCGGTGTGTTGGGTGGCCCTGACACTTTTTACAAGCATATCGTCGACGTAGACCTCTATTGATTTTCCAAGCTGTTGAGCGAACATCTTATTCACGAGCCTTTGGTAGGTAGCCCCCGCATTATTTAGGTCAAAAGGCATTACCTTGTAGCAGTAGAGGCCCCTGTTGGTTATGAAGGATGTGTGCTCATCGTCGGCTGGATGCATGGAGATCTGGTTATACCCGGAGTAGGCATCCATAAAACTCAGCATTTCATGTCCTGATGTGGCGTCGACCATTTGGTCTATCCGAGAGAGTAGAAAACCATCCTTTGGGCAGACTTTGTTGAGATCGCTGAAATCGACGCATGTTCTCTAACTTCCGTTAGGCTTGACTACCAACACGGGGTTTGAGACCCATCGCGGGTAATGGGCCTCCCTGATGAACCCATTGTTGATGAATTTGTCGACCTCTTCTTTTAGTGCCTCGTACCTCTCTGGGTTCATCGGTCGACGCTTCTGACGCTTGGGGGGATATGAGGGGTCAATGTTCAGAGAATGACATATGACCTCTGAGTCGATCCCCTCAATGTCAGCATGATTCCAGGCGAAGACATCTAGATTTTTCTTAAGGAAGCCCTCGACCTCAACCCTAAGTGATGGGGTTAGGTCTGAGCCTACTTTCAGTACTTTGGTTGGTTTGCCCTCGTCGACTTGGATCTCCACCAACTCCTCGATGGGTTGAGACCATGTGACCTCCTCTTGGATCCTGGGATCTATGTCTTCGACGGTGCTTTGATAAACCATCTTGGCCTCCTGCCTTCCCGGCTGGTCATATCCGCGCAGGGCATCGGAGTATGCAACCCTAGTCTCGTACTGGCTTGGCTGCTCTTCATTTCACCCACGCCATTTGGGGTAGGGAATTTGACTTTTTGGTGGTAAATGAATGTGATTGCCCTCAGCGCCTGGAGGGTTGGCCTTCCAATCACAGCATTGTACTGGGAGCCCCCCCTTATTACCACAAAAATTAGCTATTGTGGTGGCCTGTCGAGGTTTCTCTCTTGCGGTTATGGGCAACCGGATAGTCCCCTGAGGGATGACGGAGTCTCCAGTAAAGTTGTAAAACGGCATGAAGGTATTTTCTAGCTGCTCCTTTGGAATCCCCATCTTTTCCAGGCAGTCGTAGTATAGGAGCTCTACCGAGCTCCCATTGTCCACTAGGATCCGGCACACAGTATGGTTCCCGATCATGGCTTCTACCACCAACGCATCATTGTGGGGGAAGTGAACTCCGCTGTCGTCGTCCTTATTAAACGCCACGTCGGTGCTGCTGAATCTTGGTGTTTTTACAGCGGAGACACTCCATAACCTTTCCTGGTAAACCCCTCTGGCCTCGTGGGCGTAGTCCTTCTGAGATCTCCTCAAGTCTCCTCTTATATAGGGGCCGCCGATGACAGTTCGTATGACGCCGATGGGTTCTCGGTCCTCTGGGCGCTGGTTCTCTTCTTGGCGTCGACCGTCATTCTGGCCGCCGTAGCCATCGTTTCTAGGTCTCCGCTCGGCTTTGAACTCCTGCAGCCTCCCCTCGTGGATTACTCTCTCGATTTCATCTTTAAGATTGGCGCAATCATTAGTGTGGTGGCCGACGTCGCCGTGGAACCTGCAGTATTTTTTCTGGTTCCTTCAGCTGGGGTCTGACCTCATTGGCTCTGGGCGGCACAGTAGATTCCCGCGGCCGACTTGATTGAACACTTCCTCGGCTCCTACTGTTAATTCATGGTATGAATCGTACTTTTGAAACGGTCCGGTTCTCCTTTTGCCTCGGCTTTTTGGCTTCTGGAGTGTTCGACGTCGAAGCGGGCTGCTTGCCCCCACTTCCTCCACATCGTCGCTTCTTTCTATCCTGCTTTGCTAGCGTCGACCTTTGTTTGGTCCCCTTGTTTTTATTGGACCTGTGCTCAGGGTCGTTCGCTTTCGTTTCCTCGGCGTTTATGTAGCCTTGCGCTCGTGCAAGGAATTCCTTATACCTGGACGGAGGCTTTCGGTTCAGCTCTCTCTTGAAGGGGGTAATTCTTTTCATGCTAGACAATGCCCCCATCAAGGCCTCCCGGTCGGTTATGTCCATCGTGGCGGCGACAGCTTCCCCATATCTTGCAAGCCACTCTCTCAACGACTCATTTGGCTTCTGGTATATCGTCGTCAGATTCTGCTTTGGGGGATATATTTATTGGAGGGAAAACGCTTCCTTCAACTTATCCCAGCTTGAGATAGAGTTTGGCTTCAGCGTCCGAAACCATCTTCGGGCAGAGTTCGTTAAATGGTTCCGGAAGGCTTGGCACATAATCTCCTCGGCATACCCATGTAAGAGCATGTGCCCTGTGTACATCTCCAAGTGATCGTCAGGATCCCCTCGACCATCATATGGTGGGATTGACGGCGACCTGTATTTATCGGGGAGAGGTGGCGCCATTATTTCTGCGGTAAATGGATGGTCGTGTGTGCGGCTAGGCGTGATGTCGACGTTTCCCACCTCGGCCACTCGTCCTATGTTCTTTTTTAGGGCGGCGACGTCGCCCGTGAGTTTTTGCTCTAGGCTGGCCATACGTTCCATAATGGCGCGCGCTTCTTCTGCCGAGATGGCTGAGCCAGCTACTCTCGACGCCTTTGCCCTTTGGACGTTGGGTCCGCCCCTTGCCTGTCCGCATGCCTGTACTGACCCTGAGTCTCCCGGTGGGTTTCTTCCTGGGTTCTGGGGTAGTACATCGGGGTTCCCTAGGCCTCTCGTTATCCGGTCCTCGGGAGCCCGGAGCCCAACGGCCGTTAGACGGTTGCCGGAGGATTGGGAAGGTCGAGGCCTAGGATGGCCTCTATGATTTTCACTATTCCTGATTCCTTCTAGGACATGTTAGCGGTCACCGGGGTTGTGGTTTTCAGCCATGGCAGCTCTCAGCGGCCTCGGGGCGTCTTCTAGAGGCGGCATAGAGTTCCTTCCGTCCAAGCGCTCGACTACGGCCATTAGTCCACGTACCAGGTCGGTTAGAGTGGTTAGTTGGGCCTGCATCTGCACAGGGTCCGGCCGCAGCATGTCTGGGGGCGGGACTTCATTTTTGACCGGAGGTGGACCTTCCTCCATCCCGTCATTCACCGGATGTGTGGCGGTTTCGTCCATATGGCTGCCTTGGTTAATGGCCTTAATTCTTCTTCTTGGAGGCATGCTTGTTGACTATGTTGTTGTTAGGGGTCAAACGTATGAACCAGAGATTCTGGGTTCGAACCCCAGCGGAGTCGCCAATTGTTGACGGTGAAATCTCGTCAACAGAAATAGGCCGGGTCACCTCTAGGTACCCCATCGGATTACCGGCTTGATATTGACTGTGTACTCAATTTATGCAATGAAGTGTTTGTTGTATTTTTAGAATGGTGAGCAATATGAGAAGAAATGCTTCAAGTAGAAGAACACACGAAATTTATAGTGGTTCACTCTGTTAATGAAGAGCTACATCCATTGTAGTTTTATATTTCTTTTGAGATTGTTACAATTTACATTAACTGTTGTTCTCTCATTTTTTTCTCTCTCAGGAAGCGAACCCCTTTCCTGTATGGGGTTTTGCCCCTTTTATAGCTGAGCTTCCTTCATTGGGTGGGTCTCCTTTGTAGGCAGAAGCACTCAAGTGGTCTGCCTTTCTAGGCCCAGACCGTAGCCCACTAATCACTTTGCGAACTGTTCACTCAGCCAATTAGTCTCCTATTACGGCTCTGTGCGTACCTGTAACCCTTTTCTGTCCCCTGTAAGGCGGTTTAAGGGTTTGCAATTAATGCCTGCACTGCAGACATCCCTCATTTCTGCACGCAACTTGCGATGTCAGGCTTTCTCCTTTTGGGGCATTCCTCTCACCGTCTTTGTTTGCTCAGCCTAGTTGTCTTTCTTGGCAATTGATTTTCTCCTGAAGGACTTCCGTCGTGAGGTCGACAGTACGACCTGTCGTCGTCATGAGGAGTTGGCGTCCTAAGTTGGGCTTCTTTTGCAGCAGAAGGAAAGGGAGTCCCCAGCGTCGAGGGTTGTTGCCTTTTGAGGAAAAGTAAGGCCACGTGTCACACTGTTGTTCTTCCATGCGTCATCCACATTTTTCCACACAACATGGTGAATTTCATTTGTGGTTTGGTTGTATCCGTAGAGTGTTTATTATTTGTTTTTCTTTTATTTCTTACTCAATTTTCCCTTTATTAAAAAAAAAAAAACAATGATGTTACCCCCTATCAAAATGTACAAAACCAAATAAGTTTCGGGTGTTAACTCAAAAAAAAAAAAGAACAAAAAGAGAATAAATTATTGTACATTTCTCATTTTTGTGTTTTTCTGGTTGTTTGTGAATAGAGTTTTGTGGGGATGATTGATAATTGAGGAATGATTGAATTTTGAAATGGTGTGTGAATTTTCATTCATTTCGTGCAAGGTCCACGAGGTGCCTTTTCATCTCCCCTTCAGCCTAGCCTTACATTACAACTTATAAAAGTCCTTTTGATCTTTAATGACACACTAGCGACTTTAGTGGAGAGTGAGACATAAAATGGGCTTATGGTAGTTTTAAATTGTAATATTTAGATATCTCTCATCGTCCTTCGAAGCACATAAGTCTATATGGGTTTCAATTGATTGAGTGAAATTGGTTCGGCACACACTTGCCCATGGAGAGTCTTGAATGAGATGAAATAGGTGCGAAATTCTTAATAATCTTAGTATTTACATTTCCTTTGAACTTTGAAGCATTGCATGACTTTTGAGACGTATATCTAATTAATAAATGGATACAAAACTCACATTTCGATTTTTAAGTTTCTTATTAGTTTGAATTATGGTGTGTTTCACAGAAATTACATGTTAGAGTGACTCAGGGATGCACATCATAGCCAGTAGTGATTTTCACCGACTATCCCTTAAGAATCTCACCATCTTCTCTATTTATAATATAACTAGGCAAAAGCCACCGTTGGCTATTTTGGGGAGGAATTTCTTTATACGGATGAGTCCGACTCTTTGGACAGGGTCCATTTGTGCAAGACATTACCAAAGACATCATAGTATGAAAAGCTTGCCACTTTCTTGGTTATTTCCAGAGACACAAAACCTTGCCCATCATAGTACAACTTCAGTTCTCCTGGATTCCACCATTTTATGTCACCTATCCATGCCTTGGAGCCACCTCCACTTGTCAAGAACTGGATTTGGCTGCCCAAGAGGGAAAGCATATCAATTTATATATATTCTCTTTAGGCTTAGTGAAAATTTCACCGACATGCGAGATATACAGGGAAAGCATGGCAAAAAGGTCTTTCAAAACACAACATTGTAGGGTAATTTGTCCACAAAGTTTACCTTTTGGCATCAATAATGTGCTCCAAGCAGTGGTCATGACCATTCAAGTAGAAATCAACGTTATTTTCCTGAACAATATGATTCAAAGCGAGTATAATTTCAACCCATAATATATACTTTTTGAAGAAGCGAAAATAAACTAGTGTAGCATGCTACAATCCACAAGCATGGTTGGTAGTTGTATATATATATATATATATATATCTGTGTGCGTATGAATATATACCTCAAGGATTGGGAGAAGCTGTGATTCAAGCTCTTGAGTATTCCCATGGTGTCCAGCGCTTTTGATTGCATGGTGTCCAACCACAATTTTCCACTTTGCAGTGGAACGCTTTAATGCTGAATCCACATCCTATATATGGCAAAACCCAAGTAATTAGTTATTTCTTTTCACTATCTTTAAGTGCAAATTGTGTGAAAGGAAGGAATTGGTGATTATTTTTAAACATATAAAGTGTAGAGTATTGTTCGTTCCATGACTCAAGTCATGACTATTACTACAGTGTTTTCTCTCATAAAAATTTAAATTTAACTTTTTTATTATAATATTTTTATCTTACATATACAACTTAAGTCGTAACTTAATTCGTGAGTGTGTATGTGATTCATGGTTCGTATCTTGGTGATTTTATTTATTTTTAGTGTAATAGAAGCTATAGGTCCTGCACCGTATATGTAACAAAGAAAAAATTACCTTCAAGAGATTTGAGAGGTAACTCTGCCTTGGTAAAACGCCCCTCCAGTCATAGGTATGGTCCTCTGGGTTTGTAAAGTAGTCATCTACAAATGGAGTGGTGTCTACAAAGAAGAATTCTACAATTTCTGCAGCACAATAGAAATGAACTTTAGATTTTCTCTCTCTAATTTTTAACTGCACTGTAAGAATTCCACTGAAATAAATAGAGTAACATATTTTTACTTTTATTTTTCTATTATTATTTATTATTTATTTTTGCTTTATATTCCTTTGAAGCTGCTTGAACAAATATATATAAAAGTATGTTTCTATACTCTTTTTTTTTTAATTTAATCTTTACAATATTAGAAATCACATTTGAAACTTGTAAACTTACTTGTCGTAAGAATGAATGATCTCAAGCAAAGAAATCTGCTATCTTTTTTCCTGAGAATGGGACTCAATTGTGCTAAAACATTCCCACGATAGTCATGGTTCCCCAAGACTGCCAATAATAATTAGTAGTAGTAAAAAGTTGGCTGAATTAATGGAGGACTGATCGCAATACCATGCCACAAATTATATTAAATTCTAAAAAAAATAGATTATTAGAATTATTGTTGGCAAAAAAAAAAAAAGAATATAAATAATTACCATTGTACCATTGCTTCTGCAAACTTGGGGCAGTGTAGATATTGGAAAATGATTTATGAAATGCAGGGTCATCCACACCTACCAAGCCATCATCGTAGAAATTATCACCAGTTGAGATCACAAAGTCAATGTCTAGTTTTTCTCCAACTATGCCCATCTGGAAATTGGAGAACAAATCATGTTTAAGCTAATAATGAAATGGTAAAACATATTTTAAAAAAAAAAACACAAAATCGGATTTTCTTTAATTTACTGAACTATTAATTTATAGTAAGCCTATAAAAAAAATTAGTATCATATTACGATTATACAACTAAGGAATTTCTTTTCAATTGGATGGTAGGCTTATTAAAAAAATTTGACGTGTCATATTAATCGGGATATCTTTTGACAATTTATATTACGATGACAATACATGTGGGAGTCTTATTATATATCCATGATAGCGATTTATGGTCTATTTCAACACGTAATTCGCATCAACCTCATTGGGAGAATATACGAAGAGAATCCTTTTGGAATATATATACATGGCATAATGGTATTTAGATATTTAATTTACAACGACACGTTACCTTCTGACCATTAATTATTAATTTATTGATCATGTTGGTTCATAAGTAGTTCTATATATGGGAATTAAAATGCGTAATAATACCCATGTGGGGAGTTTTTGTTTTTAAACCGTAGCAAGAGCACGAAAATTATTTGAGTGTTTTCTGTACCTTTTTTTTTTTTTTTGGAGAATTATTTATCCATATATTGGCCTAGCAGAAACAATTAGAGGGTTAAAAGCATCGGCGAGGCGTTTTAAACCTTCATAATTAAGCCTGTAGCTCGCTAATATGTATCATTTAGTATTTCGTAGATAAATATAGGAGGCATAAGGAAAGCTGGAAATGGACATACATACATACATACATCTTATTTGTTTCCTTTAAGTTTTGCTTGAAAGATAAATACTAGTGAGATTTTGCTTCAATAATTGGTTTTCTATGCCATTTTTATCTGTTAAATATTGTTGCTTTCAGTTTAGTACACGTGTAAACGAAAGTACATGCATATGATCTAAACACATTTAAGGCAAAATTTGTCAAGTCTATATCATTTTGAATCAGGTGTTTAGCAGTAGTTCACAATATTTATTGGATAAACCTTTAATTTCCTAATGTTTCCTTATAATTAATGTGTATACCTTACCGAACACAATAACTATGATATTAATCTCTTCTACTCAATCTTATAGAAATCCAATCAAATTAAGAGAATAAATACATATAACAAAAGATGATATGGTTATTTAACGTAACAAAAAAAATATATCCAAGAAAAGGAAAAACCAGACCTGAAGAGCGACTTCGGATTGGTTGTAGAGTCCTTGTCGTCCCCAGTCACCGACGACCAAGAAGCTGAGAGTTCCGTCGGCCTTCGCTCGGTGGTGGAAATGCTGAAGCTTAGCAACAGAAGAAGGCGAGCAAAGTGAAAGAGTAACGGTGAAAATAAAGAAGAAAAGTGCTACGGTTTTATTGTTACTATTACGTTCAAAGGAGAGAGAAGCCATGGTTTGGTATATAATACGCATAAAAAGAAAATGATCAGAGAAACGTTAAATAAGAGATCAGGGCTAGTCATTGTTTATACAAGCCAGCTGGGTAATTTATTAGAGGGTTTTTAATAGCTTGGGAACACATTCATAGCGTGAGGGACAAGTATATTAACGGGATATTCTTTCTTATGACATATGACTTGCAAATATGTAAGTGTGTACTCCTTTACATTGTTTACGTGGTACTTTTGCATACATGTATAATCCATCAATATCTATATCTATATCTATGTATCTATATATACATATCTATATTTATAAATTTTTACATCTATCTATCTATTATATCATATATCATACTTAAAAGAGCCAAAAAGTGTTTTATAAATTATTCTCCTTTTGCAACATGTCAGCCTCCTTTTTTTCCATGTATATCTATCTCTATAACTATACATCTATCTATACCTATATCTATACATACTTAAATCTATATCTGTACATATACTTAAAAGAGAAAAAGGAGGTTTTGTCATCAATATTCTTCTTTCACCACGGCCTGTCAACCCCGTCTTTTTTGCCTGTATCTAATATCTACACCAATGCATCTCTCTATACCTATATTGATACATACTTAAATCTACATCTACATCTATATATACATCTATCTATGTCTATACATGTACCTAATTAAAAGAGAAAAAAGGGGTTTTGTAAATGATTCTTCATTCGCCACATGTCAGCCTCCTTTTTTTATCTGTATCTATATCTATAAATACTTAAACCTATATGTATATCTATTCTATATCTATACATCTACACATAATAAAAAGAATCAAGTTTTTTTTTTTTTTTTTTTAACTTAGCTTTTAATGAGGCCATGTGTTGGCATCCTCTTTGAAATACTTTATTTTTCTCACTTTCATTTAATTAAAAAATTCTTTTAAAATATTTTCCTACTAAATTCTTTTTCTCTCTTTTTGTCAAGTTCCCTATTTGTATTTGGTTTTTAAAAAGACCTCGTGTTGGCTTCCTCTTTGTTCTGCTCCTCTTCCTCTTCCTCCTTCTTTTTATAACTTTTCCACTTTCTTTTACTTTTTCTTTTAATTTTTATTATTTTTTTTACCTGTTGTCTTTTTTATGCTTTGATAGGTCATTTTTTCATAGTATACTTCTTTAAAATAATTTATTTTTCTCACTTTCTTTTAATTAAAATAAATATTTTTGTCTAATATGTCACTACTTAAGTTTTTCTTTTTTTATCAAAAACTTATATACAACTTTAATTCTTTTTTGATACGCTTTTAAATACTTTCAGTCGCGGACAACCCATCTAAAGTTTCAACACTAATTTTAAGAACGTAACCTCAAATATGGGATTGGATTAAACTAAAATCTAATTCCATTACTTTCTATACATCCGTGTCCATTGTCCGCGCACCAAATGGGGGCGTTAAGTATAGTTGGGGATGGGAGAGAAAGCCAAGTACGCATATTGCCTTTGTCATTTTTTGTTGTTGTTGATATTAATCGATTATATATCTGAGGAAAATACTTAGTGGGAATCCCATGTTGTAAAAATAACACGGTTATTTCCACAACTAAATTCTGAAAGCGAGAGGATTACTTGGGATGATTGCGTGTATCTGAGATGGATATACCTTAATTCCAAGACATTCATTCATTGGAGGTTGGAAACTTGTTGCTTTTGTGATCAATATTCTGTTCTACCCTAAGAAAAGAAAGGAAGAAAAAAAAAAGACTTTTTTTTTTTTTTTAAATTCCTTTACATTGCATAATTAATTGAGTTTTGCTTTTCTTTTTTTAGAAGGTTCCAGCTTGGAATAATCGGCTTGCCAAGCAATGGAGTAGAGCAAAGTGCGAGATCAGCTCAGAACCCCATGGCGAACATCAAAAAAAGAATAATTTTGTGTATTTTAAGAAGATAATCAATCTAAATTATTAGGAGAAAATTTTATTTTAGTACGTAATCAGTTTTTATTATTTTGTATTTTTTTATAATTTTGATTTGGTATCTTAACCTTTTAAGAAATCGTTTTTAATGATTAGCAAAAAAAAAAAAAAATCATTTTTTAGTATTTTGAGCTCTTTTGTTATGATATAAAATGTTATTTCTACCCTCATATAAATTAATCTGTTTAGAAAAAAATAACTTCTTAACAAGGTACTAAAAAATATTAAAACATAAAATACTAAAAAACGATTATATTAAAACACAAGATACTAATATCATATTTTCTCGATTATTAATTCAACTCATAGCAAAGATGTGATTTACGTAAGGCAAGTATAATATTAGTACAATCCCAATCATGATGCGATTAGCTTTTATCTTAGGTGTCTTCTAATCTATAGCCATATAGTCAACTTGGGGCTCTTTCTGTTTTTCTATTTTTTTAAAGAAAAAAAATAACTCTCTTATCTTTTTCTTTTTTTTGGTTAATAGTATTAAAAAGTTATATAACAATTTTAAAAGTGTCATTTTGAATATCCTAAGAAAAACCGTTTTAGGGGCATAGAAAGTCTTTCTTACCATCAAATTAATTGATCAAAAACCAATGATTTTAAAATCTACAAGTAACTCTAGCCCTCCTCCTCCTCCTCTCTTCCCCCACCGTCGTTGTTGGCCAGCCCTCGAAGGAGAAATCGGTTGCGAACAGTGTAGGTCACAAAACCTATATAGCGTGGGTTGCGAGACCCTTGCAAAGGTTGGTCGCAAACCCACTTCTTTGGTGGGGCAGTGTATGGAATGGTATTTTTTAGAATTCAAAGTATTTCCTAATATTATAAAAAAGAATAGAATACTAATTAAAAATGCTTTTTTTTTTCTTGAAAACACAAGGTATTAAATTGATGTTCTTCTTTTTTATTTTTATATTTAAATTTAGGATGAGGGAATTCAAACGCTAAATTTTGCATGCAGAAAATTATTGCTAGATTAAACTACAGCAATTATTTATTTTACTTTTTTTGTGTTTATTATGAAATGATATAACATGATATGATTTATTAGACACTGTTTGAAACACTGGCCTCATTCACTTCACAGATTTGAGTTTTCAATTCGAGCTGAGATATTACGGGTGTGTTCGGCAGGCTCAAAAACTCAAAAAAAGGCAACTCGAGTTACAACTTTATTCAAGTTCATGTTCTTTTAAGTTTGAACTCGAGTTTGGGACTAAAACTCGAGTTCAAGTTTTCTCTTCAACTCGAGTTCAGAAACTCGAACTCAAATTAAAGGACAGTATTTTTTCTATTCTTAAAAATGTTATAACTTTTTCGTTTTAATTCTGATTGAGATGATTTTTTTCTATGCGTTGACAATGAAAAGACAAATAAAACTCCACCCATATACCCTATTAAAATTTTTCATCACCATTGAGTTTTTATTAAAATACTATCTAAATACAAATTTAAATTTTGACTCACTCAAACACAATCTCAAAAAGATTATTATCTCAAATCATAACTCAAATGTACACAACTAAACACAAACTCAAATTACAACTTCAATTTAAGTTATAATTCAAACTCAACTTAAGATCTTCACTCAAGAATGCCTAACTCAAAAATACAAAAGAACAATCTCTGTATTTTTTGAGAGTTTTTTTACTGTAACAGAAAAAATTAAATGTGATATTTTTTAAGAATTTTTAACTGTAAAAATGTATAATTAAAAATTCGAATCCATCGAATCAAGGAAATCTAACAATTGAACAAAAAATTTAAATCCTCACTGTACATATTTGGACTCAATCAAATCTCGTGTCAAAGCCTCTTATCCTATTTCATGTCCAGTGACCAATAACTCATCGCGACATCAGATTAATTAGTTACGACAGAATGGCCGATTTGACGTTTCCGTCCTTCCATTTTACAAAGAGCGATATTCAACGATGAACTTGAAATGCCTTTTGTTGCTCTTTTAAGTAGATTACTTATCACCTTTTTTGGGTTCTTTTTTTTTTTTAAATAAAAGAAGTGATATTTTGGTTTCTTTTTCTCTTTAGTCCTTCTCTATTATTTTTGTAATACGCACGAAAAATTTCTCCCATATCATCACAATTCAATTTTCAATTTTCAATTTTTTCTCTCCGCTGTGTGACCAAAAAAAAAAACCATATAAAAAGAAAAAGAGGACAATTTTCAAAGGCCATGGATATATATATTTATACATAAATATAGACATTCGTTATCGTTTACATAGGAGACTCCCTTTTATCTCCGTACAATTAGGGCCTTAATTAAGTTCATAAATACAGATTTACCGACAAGAATAATTTCATAATCTACTCTACATGGTAGAGTAAAGCTGCTTGGAAGTGGCCCATTTGTGCAAAACACGTCCAAAAACATCATAGAATGCAATGTCCACTTGAGTTTGGGTAATTTCCATTGACATGAAACCTTGCCCATCATAAAAGAACTTCATTTCCTTTGGGTTCCACCAGTTGACATCTCCCCTCCATGCCTTTGAGCCTCCACCACTCGTTAAAAATTGGATTGGACTGAATTCCATCCACCACCAATCGATAATTAGTACTAAACATATGGTTTTATTTTCTAACTTTTAGTTAAAAATAACTAAATAGTAGTGTTCGGTACACTAGCGCTAATATCAATTTTTTTTAACCATATCTTAGAACACCAGTATTTTATTAATAAATATAATAATCTTATTATTAATTGATATGATAATCTTATAAACACCTATTATAGTAAACAAAACAACAACTCGATATATATACCATGTCAATTTAAGTATTTGATTATAATTTTTGGCGTGCATATATATATATTATAGTATCTATTCAACTAAATTGCCATGCATATCATTAATTCATATTATGAATGAGAGTAATTGAACAAAAATTTATTTGATTTAAAAATATGTACGTTTTGATCTAGTCGAGTCTATATTACTCACCTGTCGGGGCTGCTTATATGTTCTAGGCAATGGTCATGCCCATTGATGTAAAGATCGACATTGTTTTCCTGAAAATTTTAACATATAAAAAGTTATTTTAGATTTATTTTTCATTTTAATGGAAAATGATAAAATAATTTAAATATTCTCCTAATTAGTTTTTCGAGAATAAACATAGGTATAGTGGGGGAAAAAAAAAAAACTTCTGTACCTTGAGGATTGGAAGAAGATATTTAGCAATCTCGTGGGTATCACCGTGACTCCCAGCACTTCGGATTGTGTGGTGACCCACCACGATCTTCCATTTCGCAATAGAATCTTTTAATGCTGAATCTACATCCTATAGTCATAAATTAAATATATAATTAAATGTAACATAGTGGGAAAATTACTTTGAAAAAGAAAAAAAACAAAAGAACTTGATTAATTTGATACCATATATATGTGTAAAACTAGGAAAGTATATTATTGCCAAAAAAAAAACAGAGAGAGAGAGAAAGAAGTAAATAATATTTTAACAATGAATAATTCAAGTGAATTGCAGTTTTAAAAACATCTAGAGTAATATAGAAAAGTTATTAGGCAAATCATTTATTTACTGCTAGTAAATAGACTATTTACTTTTAAATTTCTTAAAATCTGGCTATTTAATAAAAATGTTAGTTACTACCATTTCCGAAAAATTTGTACACACATATAGGGTGCAATAATTGTCAATAATCAATATGCAATATTGAAGAGATCATTTATGATTGAGCCACCTTCAAGAGATTAGAAAGGTAATTTTTCCGGGGTAATATTCCCTTCCAATCATAGACATGGTCCTCCGGATCTGTGAAGTATTTCTCAACAAAAGGAGTAGTATCTACAAAGAAAAACTCTGCAATTTCTGCCAAAAAAAAAGGATAATTAACAATTATAAATCAACACATATTGCAATTGACATTACTTAGTACTTACTTCCCCGTCCAAATATTAAATTGAAAAAAAAAAATTAGTCTATTGTGTATGACTTAGAAAAGATATTGTGTACAAAACTTACCGGTATCAACAATGAAGGATCTTAAGCAAAGCCATCTGTTGTCCAACTTTTGAAGGATGGGACTCAGTTGTGCCGCAACATCACCTCTATAGTCATGGTTTCCCACAACTGAAGCCCAAATAAGCAACATATATGAGTAAAACTATTGCGTTTGGAATTGATTTTAAAATGATTTTGTTTTCAATAGAAAGTAAAAATGAGATTGTTTTGAGAATCATTCTGTGACTGATTCTGAAATTGCATTTGGTTGATTTTTTAAGATATTATTTTGAGTATAATAAAAAAGTAAAATCGTATTTATTAATTAATATATTATAATATTATTGATAAGTATTAAAAAATGAAAACAAAAAAGTGAAAATAACTTTCAACTGTTTTCTAATTCTTTTACTATTTTCGTTTTCGTTTTCAAAATATTTTTTTAAACAAATGTCGTTTCGTTTTTATTTTCATTTTTTACTTCTCAAAATACGTGAACACCATTTTTAAAAAAGGTTCCAAACACGCACTAAGAATTTTCTCATTTTAAAGAATTGACACCACACATAAAAATATGAAATATATGCAAATACATATATGTTAACAATATTGTTTATATGCATATTGAATATTATATTGGTGAAGGGAATTAAATATACCAAATCATATTATATTATATTATATTATATTATATTATATTATATTAGTGGAAGATTTTGAGATTACGTACCACTATACCATTGCTTTTGTAAGCTAGGAGCAGTGTAGATTTTGCTAAATGAGTATTCAAAGGCAGGATCATCTGTGCCCGTCAGACCATTATCGTAGAAGTTATCACCCGTTGATATTATAAAGTCAATGTCCAACTTCTCTCCAACTATTCCCATCTAAACGTAACATACAAATACATATATTAAGAGAAGATTATATGTTGAATTCTAGTATTGTATATCAGATTGTATGCTAAAGTATTGTTTTTAAATGTTTTTGCCAATTGATTTTTTATTAGCTTGAGTAAATCAATCTAATTAAGATTTATGTAACTTCAAATCATATGTGTGTTTGGAGTTAATTAATTAATTCTTGCGGGCTAGCTTTTTGTTTAATTAACAACAAATTATGAGTTTAAAGTGAGGATAAATTCAATAGACAATCAATATGTAGAACCATAATATTTCTGGCAAGAATTCATGTCTGTTATGAAGATTGAAGATGTGACAGAGGAACCTTCCTCGAAGATGAATAACAAAACAACGAGCTTGAAAGAAGTCATAAATATAACATTACTTATTACAAAGAAACAGTTGAAGTACTCCCAAGTACTGGCCTAATAATGTTTTGCTAACTATATATAGTATTTTTCGAATTTCCCAACTCGAAATTTTAAAAAAAAAAAAAAAGAAAAACAGCTGGGTTATTTGAGAGGTACGAACGACACAACATAAACTGTATATCATGGAATTATAATCAGTAATTACACTTTGCAAACAAAAATACAATAAAAGAAAAAAATATGAGGAAACGTAAATTAATAACATTCTATAAAGTAATACTAGTATTCAACTGCTACTATTATTATTGTCGTTATCATCATCATCATAATCACGATCGTTATTATTAATTATTTATCATCACTACTACTAATCTACAACTACTATAACTTTAATTTTTTTTTTTTTTTAAAATTCTCCTTATGAAAAAAATACATTTTTTTGGTGATGAAAATAAAGGTAGATCATTAGTTCTGGTGGGGGTAATGATAATACCAACTGCTCCATTATAAATTAGGTAACACCTTAAAAAAAAGACAATAAATAAATATTGAGTTCTAAGTTACGAATCAATATTGTCATATTTGCGTAATATTGATGCCAATTTGCGAAATACATTTGTGCAATTCCCACACGATTTTGCACTAATTGATTACGTACCAAGAAGATACTTGTGGATATAAAAAAGCACAAAGGAATCTCCCTGGAATTATACCTCCTAAAATAGTAAAATAGAAAAAGAAAATAAGAAAGCTGACAAAATTTCCATCGTCATAATTGTAATGTGCTGTAATCCTGCCATTGGTCAACAAGTCTTCATAGCTCATTTTCTTTTTAAATACGTTATTAGAAGGTAGTAACTGGGACAATCACTGCAACATTCATTTTATATTAGATGATCTCCATATTATAATGAGGCGCTAACTTTATGAAACAGTATACAAATCTCAAGAATAAATTTACTGATATTTTGGTATACAATTTGCTTATGATTATCATTAATTTTGCAAGCATTTTTTTTTTTTACGTCGTCTTAAAAATTTGAATTAGATACAAATATGATGCCAGTTATCGTCATTTACGGAAAAAAAAAAAAAACATACATTTTCTTTTCCTAACATAATGAATTATCTAAGATATCTAGGTTTGAAATATACTGCAGTACGAGAGTGCTTGATATGTTGAAACTAAGAATTAATAAGAAGTTTCTATGTGTTGATAACAAACGGAGAAGCAAGTTCAGAATAGAAAGCAAAACACATTAGAATATTAAACATGGATGAAACAAATGAGCTTGTTAAGAGGTACTAGAAAAGACCTGAAGAGCAACTTCAGATTGGTTGTAGTATCCTCTTCTTCCCCAGTCCCCTACAACCAAGAAGCTGAGGGACCCGTCTTTTTTCGCTGCGTGTTCGAATCGCTGGAGCTCCGCCTTAGACGGTGATGACAAGGCCATGATGAAGAGGCATAGAAGGCTTACAAACATGGTTTTCTTGCCCCGGAAAGCCATGGCCATGGGAAAGCAAAATGATAAAAGTAGAAAACTAAAAGTAAGCTTTTGTTTTGCTTGTAGTGCTTAAGAGCAACGCATAGTATCCTTATGTATATAGATGAGGCCACGTTGGATGGTTGTAATTATGGTAGTTTTATAATATTGTTTAAGGGAGATAATGTGGAATTTTATAATTAATTATCACATATCCGACCCAAGAACATAAAATAATGAGTCAGAATTAAACGAGTATGTTGTATCGTTGTAGAAGTGGGAATATATATATATTTAATTTTATGATGTCAATTTGTAGTATGATTGGATAAGAAATTCGGCATAAAAAATTAGATTCTTACATCTTTTTGCTTGTCACGGTGCAATAATTAGCTATCAAACATATATATATATATATATATAAATCTTTTATAGTGCTTATTGAAATAGGAGATCTCCCTCCACTGCATCAGCTATAGCCCCTAAAAGGTTAGTTTCGAATAGTGATTAGTGATATTATCAATAAAAACTAAAGAAAATGTCATTATAATTGATATTATGTAAAGATGACAACCGGAAGTCACCTAGGAAGCTAGCTGGCCATGTTTATGAGTTTTTAATTTGAGTTAAAATGTGATTTTATGTGAGAGTTTTTTACTATAGTAAAAAAATATATATGTAATTATTTCTAAGAACTTTTTACTATAATAAAACTCGAATCGGTGAAATGAACAGGACCATAATATAAGAATTCATTAAAAATCTATTCTATGAATGGCCAAAGTTTAAGTCCAGCGGTCATACAGTTTACAAAATGTAACTTTTTAAGTATATATGGTTTGTTCGTATGTGTAATTATTTTATATACTCATGTAATACTTAATATTACATGTGTTCAACTATATTTTTTAAATGTTAATACCAATAATGTTACACAGGTATATAAAAAATTTTATACATGTCTGTCTAGCCGGACTGCTGGTCTGATTTAAGATAATTATATCTATATATATATATATATATATCATTTCTATTATTCTTTCACCATAATTGTAAGATGAGGAACTCTAACGACCATTCTTTTCTACATCAACACGTATCTGTGGCACAACAATTTTTCCTTTCTTATTAGATAAAAGTGGATTGACCAAATTAAAGACTTTTTTTCTATTAAAAAAAAAAAAAACCAAAGTTTAAAGGGCCTTTTAAAGCAAAAGGTCGGTCCAATAAATTAAAGAATTCTGTTGATAATATGATGTGACCACGCTATTTCTGTTTACCTAAATTTAGGCCTCGTTTATTTTGAAGATTTAAATTATGATGTGATATTTTTTAAAAAATTTTTATTGTAAAAAAAAAAGTTAAATGTGATATTTTTTTAAAAAAATTTTCTATAAAAATTTAAAACTGAAAATTTTTTACTGTAGAAGTGGGAATATGTATACATATATATATTTAATTTTATGATGTCATTTTGTAGTATGATTGGATAAGAAATTGGGCATAAAAAATTAGATTCTTACATCTTTTTGCTTGTCACGGTGCAATAATTAGTTATCAATGATTCGATTGTGTCGGAAGAATTAAATGGTAATTGATATAGCAAAATTGTATGATTCTCAATATATATATATATATATATATATTTGTGAAACAGAATTGTATAACTCTAAGAAAAAAAAAAAAAGATATATCCAAATTTTATACGGAAAAAGAAAATTGGCTAATGGCCTTACTAGTCATACGACTGATTAATCATGCACAAATAGACTCGTAAAACAAAAACAAAAATTATGCACAAGTAGAAAAAAAGATTAGCAAAATAATAAAATAATAATACGGGCACTTTTGGTGGTCCACCCGGTCGATGGCATTAAAAGGTAGGACCTACAACACATGCCACATGGTATCATGATCGTTAGTGGCCATACGTAGAAGCTTATGATCTGATCTTGATCTGATGTGCTGTTTGTGTTTGACGTCTTGCCCATACCGAAACTTCCTTGTTTGGGATTATCAACAAAGTCACATTCCCTGATGGGCCATATCTATTGTCCAAGCAATTATGGCTATCAATTATTACAAGAACATCCAAAATATATATGTTCCTGGTAATTCTGTATGGCCAATTATTCAAAATATTACATTTGCTGAGTTTAATTAAAGAGCCACGTAAAAGAATGTTCTGAGAAAATAAAAGGTAGTATTGTTCCATAAAGTGTGGGACACATAAAAGAAACGTTAAACCTTTTCTTTTTGTTTTGTTTCGTGTTTTTTTTTTTTTTTTTTTGGATAGAATAGTGTACGAAGTCATATATTATACGAGTAAATTAAAGCTATTTGAGAGACTACGTCAAGTGATTGAGTGCATGTGAATGTCTAATACGAGGTTCAAAATTTAAGAAAATTACTAAACTTACTTTAAGAGTACATTCACTAAAACAATATAAAATCGTAAATCACCCTAATTTCTTGAATGATCAATAAGCTTTAGGCCTTAAACCCAATTAATAGTCCAATAACCAAATATTACTTTGCTATCAAACATATATATATATATATATATAAATCTTTTATAGTGCTTATTGAAATAGGAGATCTCCCTCCACTCCATCAGCTATAGCCCCTAAAAGGTTAGTTTCGAATAGTGATTAGTGATATTATCAATAAAAACTAAAGAAAATGTCATTATAATTGATATTATGTAAAGATGACAACCGGAAGTCACCTAGGAAGCTAGCTGGCCATGTTTACGAGTTTTTAATTTGAGTTAAAATGTGACTTTATGTGAGAATTTTTTATTATAATAAAAAAAATATATGTAATTATTTTTAAAAACTTTTTACTATAATAAAACTCGAATCGGTGAAATGAACAGTGCCGTAATATAAGAATTCATTAAAAATCTATTCTATGAATGGCCAAAGTTTAAGTCCAGCGGTCATACAGTTTACAAAATGTAACTTTTTAAGTATATATGGTTTGTTCGTATGTGTAATTATTTTATATACTCATGTAATACTTAATATTACATGTGTTCAACTATATTTTTTAAATGTTAATACCAATAATGTTACACAGGTATATAAAAAATTTTATACATGTCTGTCTAGCCGGACTGCTGGTCTGATTTAAGATAATTATATATATATATAAATATATATATATATATATATATATCATTTCTATTATTCTTTCATCATAATTGTAAGATGAGGAACTCTAACGACCATTCTTTTCTACATCAACACGTATCTGTGGCACAACAATTTTTCCTTTCTTATTAGATAAAAGTGGATTGACCAAATTAAAGACTTTTTTTCTATTAAAAAAAAAACCAAAGTTTAAAGGGCCTTCTAAAGCAAAAGGTCGGTCCAATAAATTAAAGAATTCTGTTGATAATATGATGTGACCACACCACTTCTGTTTGCTCAAACTTAACTTAAGTCTCATTCACTATGCAAATTTAAGTTGTAATGTGACATTTTTTAATAAAAAAAATTTAATGTGATATTTTTTTAAAGTTTTTTTATCATAAAAATTTAAAATTAAAAATTTAAATCGGTAAAATGAATGAGGCCTTAATTAGTAAATGGACTTTTAGTCACCTGTTGTTGTTGGTTTTTTTTTTTTTTTTTTTTTTTTTGCAGACAAACTTGTTTCTTGAGGACATTGGTGGGTGGATCTGAGGTGGTTCTCAACAAAAGGCAATCTCTAGTGGTTTTATATTTGGTTTCGGATACGTTAAGCAACAAAAGCGACAATTTTTTCTTAGGGTAGTAACAAGTGTCTTCCTTCTTGAACCAAGAAATATTATAAATATCTGTTTTTTTTTTTTTTTTGTGAGGTCGGTACGTAGTTTTTTTTTACTGTTATGCTTGTGACTTATCCCAAAAAGAAAACAGAAAAACGAACGGAAAGAGAAGAAAAGGAGAAAAAAACCAAAGATTATGTTTTGTTTAGCTCACTTTTTTTTTCCAAGTTTTTATGCTTTGTTTAGCTCACCGTTTTTACTTTTGTATCATTTTCTTGAAATTCATTTCTTCTTAGGTTAATATATGAAGAAAAAATTTATCAAAAAAAAAAACATGAAGAAAAAAAAAAGCAAAAACAAAAATTTTTAGTGTTATAAGACAAGACATAAGTCTTTATACTCATTAGATTCCAACAATTCTCTCGAAAGGAAAAAAATAATAATAAAAAGCCTCATCTTCAGTTGTGATATGGATGTGATGGATTTGGGATAAGGAAATAAAGGTCTCAACTAAGCCCAAACCGCCGGAATCCTTTTGGAAACTTTATTCACCATAGAGATTGCCAAAAAAGATTTCCAGAAAAAAAAAAAAAAAAAAAGATATCTAAAGTAGTATAATACAAATATATTACTAGGCCTGTATTTATAATATATATATATATATATATGCTTTTTTTTTTTTTTTGCGATATCCATACATGTGTTAATAAATTATATACTCAACTTTGCAGCACATCCATGTGTTTTCTTTTTCGTATTGCGTTCAATAATTCAACATGGAATAGTTGGATTTCCTTGTCCGTCTCTGCTGTAACCTACCACCTCCCAGTTATTGTCTTGACTGATATTGAATTTGGACGGGAATCTAATGTGTGTTTTAAATTGTATATTTATTATTTAACAACTAATTTAATTTGTCGCGCCTTTTCTTTCAAGAAGGTTTCACCTATAAATTATCATTTTAAAATGATTCGGAATAGTATCCCAAGTTGGTGCCTCCCTAAGTCGAACCTCTGTCCATGGCTTTGTCTCTGTATTAATAATGTATTTTCTTTCTTTAATCCTTTATTTAGTGAGTAATCAATAAATCATTGAATAAATTGCTAGTATAAGTACTTATGTTCTTTATTTTGATTGGCTTTTTCTTTTTCTTTTTTGGCATTGGGATAAGGGATTTGTGAGATTAGGTGAAAAATTTACCATTACATTATATCTGTAACTATTAAGTACTTTTATTTTGTGTGAACACTACTTTTGATATTTTATTTGAACATTACAACTTGTAGATAAAGCTAGTTATGGCATTTTTAAAACGGTCCTGTTTCTATAATCATAGAGGAAGAGTTTTTAAGGGCCAGTTTAGTTTGCTGATTTGAATTGAGATGTGACTTTATGTGATAATTTTGTACTGTAGTAAAAAATTTAGATGTGACTGTTTTTGAGAGTTTTTTACTGTAGCAAAACTTAAATTCTAAACTCGAATCGGTGAAATGAACGAGACCTAAAACTATCCTTTATTGTTATGGATTCTCTGATACATCCATGCAGATTTCACTCCCTTTGGCGCTAGTTTCATGGTTTTATAAAGGACAAAGTTTTCTTCAACCAGTCTCTATTAAGGCCCTGTTCAGTTCGTTGATTTGAGTTTTTAATTCGAGTTGAGATGTGATTTTATGTGAGAGTTTTTAACTGTATCAGAAAAAGTTATATATGATTTTTTTGAGAATTTTTAACTATAATTAAAAACTCGAATATGTAAAATAAATTGGGCCTAAATGTCCTCTATTCACTCTTTTGTGGTAATGCTATTTGATGGTTTTATGGAAACAATCTCATTCCTTTTCTAGTGTTTATTAGAATTAGGATTTAAGAATACTAATACTGGCATATAATTTATTAAAATGTACAAAATAAAATATTCCTCTATTCACTCTTTTGTGGTAATGCTATTTGATGGTTTTATGGAAACAATCTCATTCCTTTTCTAGTGTTTATTAGAATTAGGATTTAAGAATAATAATACTGGCATATAATTTATTAAAATGTACAAAATAAAATATTTACTGGCTTATGGCATTCATTCTGTTTATCGAGAAATAATATCAAAGGGGAATACAAGAATTGATATTTCTCGTAAAACTTGGTAGTTCACGAACACGACAAGGAGAATGGCGTAAGGCGATTGCCTGATTTTGAGGTAACAGAATGCATACTGATAAGTAAGCAATCATCACCAATTGTTGCATATAAAAATCATGAGATCAACTGTGCTGTTTTTAAAAAAATAAATAAATAAAATAAGAGAAGAAACTTTGGCGAATTCATGAATTCTGTCTTTCATATGTCAAGACAGAACATGTCACGAAATCAATTAGAGTCCGTTTGATTCATAGATTCGAACCTTGAGATTAGAACTATTTTTGATTTACGTGTGTTTTTTGTGAGAAAAAATACTGTAACGAATCATGAACTATAATTCGAATCAGAAAACGAATCATCTAACCAAACGGACTCTTAGAACTCATTTGGTTCATACGTTTAAACTAATAATTCTTAATTCTGACATTTGAAATTTAAATTTTTTGTGAGAGAAAAATACTGTAACAAAATTAAAACTATGTGTTTAAACTCATGAAACAAACAGGCCCTTAAAGGTTCTTTAAGAGACAAGAAAAAAAATGTATATGTAGACGTTTGGTTCATAAATTCAGAACTATAATTCAAAACATTCTCGGTTTACATGTGTTTTTTGTGAGAGAAAACACTGTAATGAACCACGAACTATAATTCAAATTATGACACGAATCCTTATACCAAACACCCCAGTGGAAGTTTCCAATAAAACATATTGACATTTTTACAATAGGTGTTTCAAAATCATAGGTTCTCTTCTACCTTTTTTTATACAAGGAAAAACCATATTACTAATAAGGAAAAAAGAAAAAGAAGCATTGAAGAAACAAATTTCACACATTATCTTATTTAGCTAGCAAAGACTAATGATTGGGGCCTAAAAGAGAGAGAAGAAAGGCCCTGTAATGGCCTGAGGTCTCTGAATGAACAGCATCGTTCAATGTTTTACCATATTTTTTCCTGTACTCTGCCTTTATATACTGCATATCAATCTCAGCCCTTGTCACAATTACTCTTATCAGAGTGCTGTCATTTGTGCCTAGTCCCTTCATCGCCTTGTGTAGGACCTGTGTAAATGCCAAAATAAATAAATGCATCAATAAACTTTAAAAACTAACACGTCGGAAGAACGTGAAATCGAGCCTTAGAAAATGTCGATAACTATGCGGGACATTCGGATTCAATAATGAAGAAACATAGTTTGGTATTGACGTATGTCATATGGGCAACAATGTATTTCGGAAATGGAAAGTTTTGAAACAACACCATTACGTTGCTCTAGTATTCTAGGCATTAACTGTAAGTTACAAAATCCAACACCTAGGTAACAGAAAGGAATGGACGAAACTTCCTTGAAAGAGGCTAAGGTGTTAAGTATCGTGAAACCTATCAGAGACAAGGTAATATTAAGGGTGAACAGAAATCTCGAAGATTAAAAAAGATTTTGTCATTTAGAATTTCCTCATCAAATATTCTTCATAACTTACAAAGGACTGAAATCTATGCGACAACTTTTGGTCTAAAGCTCAGACTGGTGACATGGTCGTTAATCGGCCTTGTGACTCAGATCTTCGGTTTCTAATGATTCTAGTTTCAAGAAAAGAACATAGGCCATAAACAGAAAGGGCATTCCAAGTGCAAAAGAGAAAAATGCCTGTATAATACCTTTGCAAAGTAATTCCCAGGATTTTCAGCACATTGTAGAATAGTCAAAAGGCCATGCTCGAAATACCCCGATGTTTCTTTCTTTATTGCCTGGTACATGTCAAATGTTGTTCTAAGAAAATGGACCAACAATATTGAAGAAGAGATTAATCAGGCTGCAACATATAGCTCTACCTTTTTCAAGGAATTTCCGTACGTATTATGGTAAGCATGACTAACAGCAGCCAGATGCGCTCTACTTCTTTCGCTAAAAATTTTGATGAAAATCTTCTCATCAGTCCCTAATTTCTTCTCCCCAGCTTTGAAGAGAGCCTTGGCATCATTCCCTACCATCAACCTATCGACTTCGGGACCTTCATAACGGGGTGTATGCACGTATGCAAGAAGCAACTGCACAGAAATATAAAGGGTTTACTTTTACATACTGAATAAAAAACTGCCATTACTTTTAATTTTATGAGGCATGCTAAGACGGGCATTTTTAAGACGAAGTAATAAGGAAAAGTAGGATTGTTTGTCATAAGAAGAGATCGTAGAATAATCAAAGAAAAAGCTGCATTCTGCAGAAATCTGATGTGAGTTGGAGAATATGACACTCTAAGAACGATAATAGATTTCAGGTTCTATAAACATATTTCTTCTTTTTGTACATCAACAAGAAATTAAATCCATTTATATTATGCAAACAAAACAAAAGGATTAAGATACTTGCATGGAGTTGTTGTCTATAATGTTCACTCAAACCAAATCCTTGTGGGTTTAACAGAATTTGGGAAACTTGAAGAAAAAGTAAACAAGAAAGGAGAAGAGGGCTTACCTTCTTGTGATCTCCGGATGCTTGATACTCTATATCACTCTCAAGGAGAACACCGAAGATTGCGTAATAAATCTGTTTGAATTGCTGGATTTGTGTCGAAGTGCGAGAACATATTACTTCAGTAGCAGCTTTAAGATCAATAACATCTCCACTCAATGCCTTTCTCACAATCGTTGCATCACGCGTCGCAGGATCATGCATCCAAAGTACAACCGCTCTCTGAAACCACCATCGCAAGAGCAAAGAAAAACTTCCAAGGTCATGGAAAACAGAAACAGAAAGTAACCACAAAAACCCCTGTTTACCTCAACATTGCCCCGAAGCTCCGAGACCAAGCGCTTGTTGAGGTCTTCAGAATACATAGCTCTGTATTCTTGTTGGATGAGACTACGCTGCGACGCGTTCCGATAGCCAAGAATGTTGATGACTGCTGCAGTGTCACAGCCAAGGCCTGTGAAACAATCAAAAAGTGGGAAATTTTATTACCAAGACAACAATACTAACAAAAAAACATATTACAATATGATATTCTGGGATAAGGCTATTGATGAACATTCTAAATACGTAGAATGTGGAAAATTTTGACACTGGCAAAATGTACATCTAGCAAATGTATATCAGAACATGTGACATTTCATACCCATCCATGAAAAAGAAACAAATTTTGCAGGCAATGCAAATCATCAACTTAATTACAAAGTAATATGACCCTAATGTTAGTGCTTTCTTGTTTTTCCATGAGAAGAAAAGAGAACTAAAAGCAAAACATGAAATTGAAATTAATTTCCTCATCATTTTTGCACCTTAATTTTTATAAAAGCGATCAATTAAGTGAAGAATTTTGTAGCAGGGTATAGAAAAAAAAAAATAAAGAACTCTATATGAATCATTTTAAGCCATCTAAGTAACACCATTTCATTCAATTAAATCAACAAGTAATTTCATGCATTAAGAAAACCCGAACACCAAAAAGGCAAAAAGTAACAGAGCCAACCCCAAAAAAATAAAAAATTATAAAAAATTATAATAATTGAAATGACTCAATGCATGTATTGAAAAAACACAAACACCAAAAAGGCAAAAACAAAGCCAACAAAAAAGAACAAAAAATAAAAAAAAAATTACAAAAGAAAATAAAGAAAGAAAGAAAGTAGAAAGAAATCACCTTTGAAAGCACGGTAAAGATGAATAGCATCATCGCGAGGGGAAGTTAACACAGGAGGCACAGTTACAGTCGCCATAAGTTCCTTTTTGCTTGATTTCTTTCAAAAATTTTGAATCTGTTTGATTGTCGGCAGATGGAGAAGAAATAGAAGATGAAGATGATGAAGCAGGTAATGGTTAAATGAAAATTAAACACACACACAAATATATATATATATATATATATATTTATTTTTAGTGAAACGCTTTCGTGAGAATGTAAAAATAATGCCAAATTTGTGCGGCAAGATGCAATGACGTGTACGCAATCTCCGTTATTTCCTATGAATAGAGAGGTTTGCTTGTGTCCATTTTGTTGGGCTTTCGCTTCATTAATTTAGGGGAAAGCAGACGCAACAAGACAAGACAACCACAAATGAGTAAATTATCCACAACTTTTTATTATTTTAAAAATCTGTATATGTTTTGTTTCAAATTACATTAGAACCCCCCATAAAAAATTTGAAAACTTATTTTAGCCCCCCTCAATTTTTTTCCCAACAAATCCTATATTGCATCAAATTACGTACTAATCCTCATAAAAACTGATTTCATTCTCTAAAAACTCATTAAAAAACATCATTTTATACAAAAAGTCCAAGTAGAACTCATTACATTCTTAAAAAAAAAAAATTCCTAAAACTCAATACTCTCAAAAACTAAGGGCTTGTTCTTTTGGAGTTTAACTTGAGTATAATTCTTGAGTTGAATTTGAGTTATAACTTGAGTTGAACTTGTAACTTGAGTTTGTGTTTGGTTGTGTACATTTGAGTTATGGTTTGAGATAAGAATCTTTTTGGGCTTGTTCTTTTAGAGTTTAACTTGAGTATAATTCTTGAGTTGAATTTGAGTTATAACTTTAGTTGAACTTGTAACTTGAGTTTGTATTTGGTTGTGTACATTTGAGTTATGGTTTGAGATAAGAATCTTTTTGAGTTTATGTTTGAGTGAGTCAAGACTTGAATTTGTATTTTGATAGTATTTTAATAAAAACTCAATGCTGATGCAAAATTTTAATAGAGTATATGGGTCGGGTTTTATTCGTCTTTTCGTTGTCAACGCATAGAAAAAAAATCATCTTAATCAGAATTAAAACGAAAAAGTTATAGCATTTTTAAGAATAGAAAAAATATTGTTCATTAATTTGAGTTCGAGTTTCTGAACTCGAGTTGAAGGGGAAACTTGAACTCGAGTTTTAGTCCTAAACTCAAGTTTGAACTCGAGTTTAAACTCGAGTTTAAACTTAAAAGAACATGAACTCGAATAAAGTTGTAACTCGAGTTGCCTTTTTTTGAGTTTTTCACTCAAAATAACAAGCCCTTTGAGTTTGTGTTTGAGTGAGTCAAAACTTGAATTTGTATTTAGATAGTATTTTAATAAAAACTCAATGCTGATGAAAAATTTTAATAGGGTATATGGGTCGGGTTTTATTCGTCTTTTCGTTGTCAACGCATAGAAAAAAAAATCATCTCAATCAGAATTAAAACGAAAAAGTTATAGCATTTTTAAGAATAGAAAAAATATTGTTCATTAATTTGAGTTCGAGTTTCTGAACTCGAGTTGAAGGAGAAATTTGAACTCGAGTTTTAGTCATAAACTTGAGTTTGAACTCGAGTTTAAACTTAAAAGAATATGAACTCAAATAAAGTTGTAACTCAAGTTACATTTTTTTGAGTTTTTGACTCAAAAGAACAAGCCTAAAATAGCCCAACTATTCAAAAGTTTTTACGTAGTTATAAGTCCCCCTAACGAAAGTTCTTGGCTTCGTCATTGATTAACATGATTTTTTTGACTGCAAGATATTGATTAAGAATAAAATATAAAAATTTATGACTCATGTATTTTAAAAGGTATTTATCTCTTTTTCGAGCGTATAAATCTTAATTTTTATCTTTTTACTTTTGATTAATACTTTTTTTAATCAAATAACTAATATTACTCAATATAGTATTAATCAATGATATCTAAACACATGCGTTTTAAAAGTAAGTTTGGCAAATTTCTCTTAGCTTTAGTTGATTATTGCTTACAACAATTGATAAATTAGAATATGGACTTCTAATTGATCTAAACTTTGTTTAAGATGGTTTTTTTTTTTTTTTTGGCTGAATTGTTCAAGATGAGATGGCCCCTTTAATGGTTCAACTACTCCATAAAGCAATTTGAGCCAACAACCTTTGGTCAGTATATGTTGTATACGGATTCTGACTCGGTCCCCTTGTTATTGTTTTCCATCCAATCCCCAAAAGCTAAACATCTTTATTGGGTGAGTTCTAGCCTATAGGGTTACTCCTTCCAATCAGAGCAAAGCCTCTTTTACTTTATCATTCGATTGGATCATCACACGATCGTTTTCATGAGAAAATTAAGCACTTATGAGATAATATCCGTTTGTTAACGAATCACAAATTAAGAATTGTTTGGTTGGGAGATTCATATCTCAATTTGAATTATAATTCATAGTTCGCTACAGTATTTTTTCTCATAAAAAATACACGTAAATCAAAAATAATTCTAATCTCATGATTCTAATCATTGAACTAAACGTCTCCTAAGTGTTTATTATATATATATTTTTTTTTTTTGCAAAAATTTAATGTTTAACCTTTTGTTTTATAGTATTTTTTTTTTTATATAAATTCACTTTTCAATTTAAGTCTCAATTTGAATCCACAAAACAGATAATATTTGCATGACTCTTGTAAAGATAAAATTTTGCTCCTAATGTGTGTGTGCGCGTGTTTTTCTTTTTGGGTTATTATAGGACGGATATGTGATTACTTTTTAATTTCTAAAATGTAAATTATATTCATACATTCTAAGTTTACTGTAGTTTGCTGGTTACACCTTAAGTTTTTAATTTTGAAATTTATGATCCTAAACTTTACAATCTTTAACAATTAATAACAAATGTCAATTAATAGATGACAATCAAACTCAAAATATTAAAATTTAAAAAGTTCGGGATCTGACTTGTGAACCAACAAAAAGTTTAAGATGCATTTGTGTAAAAATTTTGAGCAATTTCTGTTTACTGATTACTGTAAAAGTTATTGGATCACAATTACAACATTTTTTAAAATTTAGGGTGCTATTTGTTAAAATTTAATGTTTGAGATCCAAATTACCAAACACAACGTTCAATATGCATCAATGCAATTAACTCTGTAAAAATCTACTGCTTTTTTATAGATTAATAAAAGATTGTGTAGTTCAAGAATTAACCTTGCTAATATATATATTTTTTAAGGAAAACCTTGGTAATATTTCAAGAATTAACAAACAAAGTTGCCTTTTTTGTTTTGATAATTGAAAAACCTTCAAAAGTCGCCACGGAAGTCTAAAGATTCCCCATCGTGAACCTGAACAGCCCAAAACCTTCAATTTGCTAAACCATATTCTCAAACACAAATGCTTCAATAATCTATTCGATTTAACTTTTAATACGCAAGCATATAATTGATACATATAGTGCGCAGAGTGCAGTGCATCCTATGATGGGGAACAATCAAGTTTTACAAGCAATTATAACGGTCATAGTATGCAATTGAGTTGTTCAAAAAAAAAAAAAAAGTTAATGATATCTCGATCTTAAAAATGACCTTTAATCATTGTAAAATAATTATTTGTAGAGAAATGTTAACGACATTCTTTTTGTAACTTTTTATATGCGTTATTTGACACTTAAACTCTACTATCTTTATCACTCTTTGCATCTCATGGAATTTTTGGATTTGGTTTTGATTTTCGGATAAACATTATTTTGCATATTGTGGGTTTGATTGGAGATTAATTTGCTGCAAAAAACCTTTTTTTATTGGAATTTATTTTCTTTGATCTTATTTGGTTTCCTATTTTAATAAGTTAAACTATTCCTGTTTTGGAAACTTTGATTTTAATTGAATTTACTGTAACAAAAGACTTTGATTTGCAGCAAGGAATTATTTATGGGGAGTTTCTGTTTTTATGGAAATTGTTTTAAGACAATAATTCGGATTGATTTGGTTAAAGTTTTGATTGTTTTGGTAAGTTGAAATTTGATGAGATGTTTGATTTGAAAAGAGAGTTTTTGCTCTGTTGTATAAAACATTCATATACATAGAGTTTTCCACAAGAATCGTGATGCACTAAAATGGAGATTTCAATAATATGTGAGAGTTGATTTTATACCAGATTTTACAGCTTTGTTGCTTTATTTGTCTCAATAGATTCAACAACAGACTATTGACAGTGGACTACTTTGAAAAACTTTGACAACTGGTTTATTGGCTATTTATTTGGAGTCTTACAATGATCTTAGTATGCATTTTGAGCCTCAAAATTTTAAAAAGTCAGATTATTTTGTGAGCATTTTTTATTTTCATATTTCTTCAGGGAGAAGGAATTTGAGTTTTCAGGACAAAATTAAGTGTTGAAGGGATTTTAATGTTAAGCCGAGGAAAGCTCGATGAGCAAGTCTATTGAGTATTTATAGATCATAAGCGTCATTTTTAGTGAGAGAGTCTTAAATTAAATAATTCCAATTAAGTATGTATTTTTCATTACTTAATGAATTGTTTAAACGTCTGAGCATAATTAATGAGGAAGTAATATGAGGGAATTATAACTTAGGAAATTCATGCAAATGGGAACATAGCTTTTTTTTTTCTTTTTTTTTTTTTTTTTGGCTAAATGGGTCGAGAACAGAGCTTATTCTTGTAAAGGTAGAGTTGGTGATTAATCATAATCTTAGTCCAATGATGATCATGATTCATGGTAGAATGAGTTGACAAGGCAATTTAGGAAAAGTTGTTTGACATTTGAGTTTAAGATCTAGAGCTAGATCACTGTAATGAAATGGTTGGGAAAGAAAAGACAAAAACAAGAAATTCACATATATGTTGAGCTAGCTTCGTTTTAAATGGCTATTGTGGTTCATGCTTTGTGTCGTTTGCATGATCCGATTCATGTTCTGTTTATGAATATTGTGAGGTGTTGAAATGATTTTCACATTCAACACCTAACAAATTAAATATACATCTAACTAAGATAAGTGTGACGACCCTGCTCAGTTGGTCGTCACTAAAACTAACTTTTAGCCTATAACTTTTGAAACTTTTCAAAAATCCAAGAGATTTTTTTTTGTTACCTAGAATGCTGCAGCTTTTTAAA